ATTAATAACATTTTTATTAGCGTTTTTAAGAAAGTGATCTCAGAAAAACCACCTTAGTAAGAGTATCTAATAACCAAATGCTTGGGACAGCAAGAGGAAAAATGATAATATTATATCTACCAGTAAAGCAGAGCAATCCAAACACTCATCTCCTCAGATGAAAAGGCTTCTAATTTGGAAGAGATTTTATTTTATTTTTTTTATTTTTTTTTAATTTTAATTTTATTTTATTGCTATATCTGATAGAGGATTACATTTTAATCATCTGTGGTCTGCCCACTGATGAAAAGTTGTGACATTCCTATAGCATCTACCATTGCATGTCTAGGGTAAAGAAAATAGCTGCAATCATTTCAAGATAGTTGGAGACCCATGCAATTGTAAGGGAAGGTATTTGACAAATTATGCAGCCAAATGTCATAGTGGTTTGGTTTTGTTTTTGTTTTTTTTTGTGTGTGTGTGTGTGTGTGATGAAACAGACAGGGATTTTCTTTTTTTTTTAATGTTTTGCCCTTTTAGTGACTGAGAGAAGCAAACAGACAGACTAAGGCAAACTTTCACACTGAGGTATCAGATCACATTTAGTAACTTAGAGAGGTGTATTGAAAGGAGAAATGCCTTTACTAACTGTAAATGTTGGACTACAGAAAAGGTTTCTAAGTTTAAACAGTGAAGGCTTTTCCTTGCCAATCTGAACACACTGCCTGTGGACTGCAGATATAGCTATTAAATTTATCATATATATATATATTATTATATCTTCTGTTCTCTAGAGCAGACTATGACAAATTCTGCCCCTGCTGCACTTTGCAGATCAACTCTACAGTAAAGTCTAATTAGAAGCATATGATATCAATGCCAGATATGATTTAAACATTGCTACACTGAGAGCTTAAAGACACTGAAACAGAGAGCATGCCAGCTTAATGAAAGAATAATTTATTTTTTATCACTTAATAATGTTCAAAGTAGACTGCTAAGGTAGACTACTCTTCTTATGAAACACTACAAGGGAAATTTAAAACATTCCAGCACCATGCTGCCCTTTACTGACCTGAGCAGCTGTCTGAAGCTCAGCTTTGGTCAGGAGAAGAAATCAGTGGGAGAGATGTCTGCTTTAGACATAATCCTCAGTGTGTGCTCTATTGCCTCAAATTGTTTCTCTTATGCACAGAAACACTTGAACATGGATTCAGAAATACAGGGTACACAGCAGAACACAAGTAGACACCTTACAGAGTAAATTACTGGTAAGCAGTCTTTCCACTTTCTTCATCTGTTTGTGCATATATATTCATGTGAGTAACTTCAGGCATTACATTTTCCTTTATGTGGAAAAAGAAAAGGCCAAAAGGAGAGCTGGGTTCTCTATTTCAAATATGCACGCTCACTATCCTGCAGCCAGCTGGGCTGTTGGATATGGAGAGAGCTGGTTTGCAGCCCTCATTAACTCCTCTGGGTGATCATGTTCCATTTGAGAACAGTGACACAGGTACAAAGTATTGACATGGTTGGCAAGAGGACAATGCAGCGTCTGTCTCTCCCTGTATTGTCACTTGACAAATTCTTTGTGAGAAGCCCAACTCCTGTTGAACAAAGGTGAGCACTCAGGTCATGCCACCACAGTAACTTGGTGCTTCAGTGGCATCTAGTGATGGAGGCGAGCAGAATTTTGGCATGATCATAATAACCACGTAACAACTGTGGTTAAAAACCTCCTCATCCTTTGGGCCAGCTGCATTTGATGTTGTCTATAGGAGCACAAGGAAGACAGAAATAGCACCGATAAACAGAACACCAGTTTTTTTTTTCTAAAAGTAGAGGGAAGTTCTGAAGTAAAAAAAAAAAAGGTAGCTGGTGATCTTCTTCAGAGATATTCAAGAGCTGAATAGATTACTACTATAAATCTTAAAAGAGATGAAGTTCAGTAAGTACCACCAGATGCTTCATTCCTCCATCAATGAAGATGACATGACTGTGCACACTCTAAAATTTTCCAAGATAGGAAAAACTTTAAGGAAGTGTGTGTATATATGTAACATTTGGTGAACTGTCCTTTCTGCCAATAAAAAATTTTAAATCAGACAAAATTCAGGGAGTCAAATCCTGAAGCATGTTGTCTAGCAGGTGAATGATTTTATGTTCAGAGAGCCTTAAAGATAGCTCCACAATAACTAGCTACAGTCAGAAATAGGGTTTCTGTGTTAGCAGTGCTGCTGTGCTGTCCATCTAACTTTTTGGATTTGTGCCTGTTCAAAATCTTTGTGCTTCACATTAATTTTCCTTCTCCCCTTCAGTTATATTCTCTCAACATGCTTATGTAGCTTAATTTAACATATATGCTGAATAATTAATACTTTTAACTGAACTAAACAACACTTTGTCCCCCCAGATAACTGAGTGCTGAGTGCATCAAAAATTGATAATTCATAAATGAAAGTTCCCTGATTTCTCCCTCATCTTCTAATGTGAAGCAATTGATCAGAATAATGTTCAGTAAATAGCTGCTAACTTATGTACTCGGCTGATGTGGATTGCTTCCATGCCTATCAAGCCCCCAGTAGAAGGCAGAATCCAATAATAAATATGTGACTCTGGCTGAACCAGAACAAATGGGGAACTTGGGTCAACAATGAAAATGTATTTTATTTGTGAAATCTGTGATTCCAGATTCTGAAATCACATCATGGTAATATGGAATCTCACCCAAGCCACCTGATACATCAGCTCCATTTTCCCCTTTTGCACTGTATATCATTGTTCCTGTGATTACAGACCTTCTGACAAGTAAGATTAGGAACACGTTTTCACCTGTAATGAAGATTCAGAGCTTTTCAAGTCAAAATCCTGCACCAAAAGGTACAGTGAACACCAAGAGCAGACTGCCTGGGCATATGGGCATTTCCTTTTTGCCTGACTGATGGGATTGAAGATATCTGAATTTGCTGTGCTAGCCACTAAAATCAACAATGTCTTTACTGCATAGCAATAAAGCACAGAACAAGATAATCAGCTGCATTTCAGAGTACAACCATCACCCTCAGAGATTATTTGATTTGATCCAACATAATTCATAGAGCAGAAAATTTAAGTGAGAAAAAACCCAGTGTGCTTCTGAGGAAAACTTTGAATTGGAAACACTGATGGACACATGCACATGAACACCTCAAATGAGGCTGAATTACAGTAACGGTGAGCTACTGCTGCATAACAGATAGTGACTACGGGGCTTCCATTCCAGTTGATGTCTTACTTTTCTTACAAGATTATCAATCTGTGTTACTTTCTCAGTGAAAGAAGCAAAATCTTCCTTTCAATCCAAACACTGAAAATCTAATGTAGTTTCTTGGCACTGAATCATAAAAGGATGCAAATTGACATAAAAGCAGATGAATCCCCAACTCAAGCAGATTAAGCCCCAACTCCTAGCTACCCCGGAAAATATTTCTCCTTCCAGTAATACAGTTAACTGGGCTGCTTTCAGTCTTTTATGGGACTTATTTATCTGGCTCCAATTATAAAACTCATCTTTTTCTTCCTCCCCAAAGATAAAGGCTACAGTTTACTGGTAACTTAATTATAAACAGTTTTGAGTCAGAAGAATGGACTCTAACAGAGAATGTGTAAGTACATCTGAAGTTATTAATAGACAAAATGTGAATACGGTGAATATGATTAATTAGAGAAGCCTAGTGTGAAATTTAGCATGCCTTTGGCATAAAAATATCCAGTTAACCTGCAAATTCTGCGTGGAGACCTTTTACCCTTTGACAAAAGCAACAGGTGTGGCCCAGCAATTAGCTCCAATAGCAAGCTGAGTGGACAAAGGGTGCCTGAACAGGGAGATATATATATATATATATATATATATATATACAATGAGTTCATCTTTCCCCTCGCTTCTTTTGCACTGCAATAATTATATTATATTCCACAATTTAGGACTTTTTTTTGTTGTTGTTAATTAACATTCTATAATCATCTGACCATTAGAAAAGGTCACAAATTTCTGTGAGCTACCTCTGATGGGGTCACTGTTCAAATAAAATATACCGATCGTATAAGCACAATACAGCATTCACATTATATGAGAACTGATATATTCAAATTAAAATCTGTTACTTGCAGCTGACCGAATGTTCTGAAGCTAGAAAGATTTATATTTGTATTTAATTTCCAACATGAAAATAATCCCATCTTATCATGAAATGTACTGTAGGAATAATGACTGTTGTGTCACATAACATGCATTATGTTTATTTTGCTTTTTTCTTCTGGAAAAGTCATGGGCAAATTATAATATACATAATTTCACACTTTACTTTTAATAATATCTTTCATTTTAGACGAATCTGCTTCCATTTTTTTTGTAATAAACAAAATGGCAACTTGGTCTGTCACATCTCAGTAATACCTATCTGTTTACAGCTTTTCCCAGCTGGAAATCCTCATCATGTGATTAACACCCATGACACAAAATTGACTGCTAAACAAAATTTTATGATATGTTTTGTAAACTATTCCCTCTCCTTTGGCTACAATAAGTGTCAAAAATGTCAGTCTGCCACCTAAGCAGTTTGAAAACCAAACTTTTTCAACTTGTGAAAGCTGGGACCTGCAGGGAAAGTCAGGAGAATTCAGTCCATTCTAAACTCTTTATTTTCTGCCTTAGATTTTTGAGGGACTCAAAAAAGAATGCTCAATGCAAGCTGCTGCTCAAAGCTGACTTAGCTTTCCCATGTAAGAGCACTATATGTGCATCTCATCCTCATGCCTGCAGAAATGACATGTATTCAAAGGCACATCTACAAACTTCAGCTATATTAACTAAATTCCATAATACTTATAGTAGTAAAATAGTATATTAAAAAAGCAAAATAATTTTCAAATTAAATAAACAATACTCCAAAAACATTCAGATTCTCAGAATGGAATTTCAATAGGATGAATATGATGTTCATGAGTTAAAAAGATGAGTATCACAGAACATCAGCACTCACCATTCAACCACTTGGAGTTGTACTGGGCAGTTCGGAGAGGAGGAAGGGTCCCCAGACTTCGATAAATAGCAGGATCTCTTCCTGGAAAATCCATGGCTGTAGCAGCATATAATTCTCCACTGGAAGTGAGAAGAGCAGTAGAATTGTGGTGGGGACTGTAGGGGCAACGAGCCATGCCACTGATTTGGTCATGTATCTCTGTCAAGTTGCTTAACTGTAAAAGAATTATTAAAAGGTATTAAATTTACCTGAAATTATCATTTCAGCCAAGGTGCATCAATCTGAGCAAAATTTACTTTATTATTGTACAATAGAGAGAGCCAACCTCTACATCAATCTGAAATTGTCTCATATAGAAAGTCTTACTGTAATGTTGTCAGATCTCACTTCTGCCATTTTGACATGTCAGTCATTATCAAGCATGCTTAAATGCTTTCTATTAGAACGGGCTCAAAAAAACACCTCTGAAAAGATTGTTATTATGAAAAATAAAACCAAACCTGATCGCCAGAATCAATAAGGCATCAACAACAAAACAAATAATATATTTTTTGTTGTTGTTTGCTTCCTTCTTTGGCCTAATCTGTCTTTGAAGTCAACGTCTGATCTCCTGAGACAAAACAAAAAAACAAAATTTGTTTTGTTGGTGTGCTTTAAGAAAAAAATCTCACATGAAAAATTAGACTAAGAAAAGGAGCTTTCCAACTCAGCAGAACCATCTCTGATTTAGTAGCCCAAACACTTTCAGCCATAAACCACAGCATGATGTTAATATGCTATTTGAAAATAAAGGTGCAATGGGTTTAAGTATAATAAATCTGCCAATGAGTTTTTTAATAATACAGCTATTCTTTGTATTTAAATGTTTCTACCCTCCTGAAACAAACAAGCAGCCTAGTCCAAACAGTGACATTTTGATACTTATATTATGACTATTACTGATGCTACAGTTAGGCTTGTTTTGAACACAGAATGACGGATCTTCTCAGTCAAGATTTCTCTTCCTTACCAGTCAGAAATCACTAATACAGGTACTCTCATTTCTCCAGAATTACACATACACAGTATGCAGCTACCCAACCACATTTGATAACTAAACCTATTGATGCCAATCAAACCTGATAGTGGCATAAGTCTTATAAATACCCAAGGTTCATAAAAATTGGCATGTAGGAGAAACTGAGCTGCTCCTAGCTGCATGTCTCCCACAGCTGAGGGAAAGCCTGCAAAAAGAGATTGGTTAGCTCTCCTATTTGGCCTGCCACCAGCTAAATCAGCCTTTTACACATCAGCTCACCCATCAGTACACAAATAGCCAGTTCTCAGCCACAACATAATCTGCCTTTTAATCTGCTGGCTCAGAACAGGGACTGCAGCTTGTGGGGCAAAACATTTAACTCTTACCGTGCGATTGGTGCAGATTGGAGTGAATGCATTGGTTCCACAGGTGAAGAGATGGTTGCCTCCAACAAGAAGCACTCTAATATAGTTCTGGCATTCCTCCTGCCACGCAGAAAAAAAGGAATATATTCAGTGATAGTGCAGAGTACAGAGGAGACTAATAGCACTTTGCTTTCCATGGTTATTTATCTGCACAGAAAAATTGTAGGTAAACAAGGCTTAAGCATACCTGAGTAAGCAATCACAATATGCACAGATTTCTTATTCATATACATGCATCCACCAACCTTTCTGAGAAGTTCTTAATAGGATACCAATAAACCCCTCTAGTTCTGAAGATTTCCTCTCAGGATATATTTCAAATGCTTAGCTAAATTTTGAACTGATAGTTCAGATAAATGATCTGATAGATACTGACTTAAATAATACAGTACTGTCTCAGGAGATCAGACGTTGACTTCAAAGACAGATTAGGCCAAGGAAGGAAGTTTTGAGGAAAACAGGGGAAAGAACAGGTTGTCAATAACAAAAATATGGTGAGACTAGTAAAAAAAAATTATTTAAATGTTCAGATTCAGATTTGTTACCACTAATTTCGTAATTTACCCTGTTTAATTAGAAGCATTTTCATTCTCATTAATTCAAAGTTTTAAAAATAATTTCATTACCACAATACAAAGATGTTCATCCTGAGGAATAATCTGACATGTTTTTTACCCCATTAGGATGGGTGGAGGCTTTATGATGTTCATATCTATCATTTTAGGAGCTAGAAATCAATAGCAATTTCCACTGCTAATTCAAACAGAAAACTTTGTCCTGCAATACTAACAATCTCCCAGAATTATATGAGGAAAAATTCAAACAACTGTCTTGAAAAAAAATCAATGTCCATACCCAAATAAATGCTCAACAATATGTTTGGAGAAAATAAAGTTTCCTGGAAACTTACATTTAAAAGTTCTCTATCATTCACCACAAGACAGTCTCATAAAAAGACTGAAAAAAATCTTGTGAAAATACAGTTATGCAATTCTAGCTTATATTAAGTGCAATCATGTAAGTAAATCCATACAACAGTGATAGCACAAAAGTCCCATTATCTGTCCTACAGTTATATTAAATTGATTGCTTGTTTATCTTGAAAATAGGCTCTCATCCTGGAAGACAATAAATAAAATCCTGAATAAATTGGACAGGCAACAGGAAAATAGACTGCAAAAGAAGATGGGGAAAATACTTTAAAGGTCTCTGAGAAAACTTTTAGAATTTATCTTCTATACCTTTAATCAAAAATCAATTTAAAAACAAACTCAAAAAAAAATCCTGTAAAATCTCAGGAAAGAAACTACCACTTGGGAAAAAAACAAACTCTCAAACCCATTAGTTTCTCATGGAAAAAGTAGCTTTTAAATGCTTATCTTTGAGCCTTGAAGGACAAGGGACAAACATCTTAGAAGTAATATTTGATTTGTGTTGGGTAAAAGATACAAAGCTTTCATACTGAACTTTATAAAATGTCATCTTAATATTCTTTAAACCACAAAGAAGGTAATACACAACCATATAACCTAGTTGGGCAATACAACAAGACATTAAAATAGTAGTTATTTCACAGCTTGGCAGTGTTGGTAGTTGTGGCAGTTTCCTTGACCGTTAACTCTATCACCAAAAATACCCCCAAAAACTAGAAAGCAACTTTTTGAGGGATTGTTTTTTGTTTGATTCATTGGAAGGGTGCTCAAGGAGGGTCACAGAATGTAAGACAGTGATTTATTCATTGGTCTCTTTCAATTCTGCCCTTTGCAAGAAGGCATGGAATGTACGTGTAGGAAAAATAAATGGGTTCTGACATTACAACCCATCCAACCTCTCCTCTTCATATTCCAGAGCTCACTGAAATAGTGTCATTTTCAAATTACTTGCATGCTGATCACCCATGCATTTTGTTCAAAAATAATGCTGATTTCTTAAACTCTGATATTCTTGGCAATCACAAGATTCTTTCTTTACTGTTCCCAAGTCTGTGCCAGCTTGACAACAATCCATACTGAAACAGGGCAAATAAGACATCTCATATGGAATTTTTGTTGGGAACACAGTGCAAAAAATGGAAAATGAAAGAATAACTTTTTTTTTATTTGGCTACTTTCTTAATTTGAAAAAAATATCCACATTAATGCAAAAGAAAATTTAAAAGAATTGGTTGTGAATAAAGCTATCACTACCCAAAAACACACTGAAAAAGGACTTCACTATTTAGTCACTTGAATTATTCAGAGATACTTTTCCAGCTCTGAAGTCAAGTTTGGCTGTAGTGGTTCACTTCTGACAAACGCACACATGCAAAAACGAGACCGAAAACCAAAGGATTTTTTAGGCCAGAGCGTGGTGCTGGGTTTGGTAGCCATCTTTTATGTAGTCTTATTCTCCAGTTCATGTCAACCTCTATGTCATATACTTCCATATTTGCCTATAAAAATATATCTGAAATAAAGAAATACATTTAGAACATAATTTCTACTTTTGTATCAGGGTATCTGAAACAAAATATGACTATAAGAAACAATTCAGCAGCCAGGCAGGCTAGGTTGTTACTTAAGACTATCTTGAACAGTCCAAAGACAATCTGACTACAAAATAATTATCCTCTTGCAGCAATATTTCTTGTATAGGTTAACATTTTAAACATACCTGCATTTAATTTTTTAAATACTTTTATTGAGGTTCAGATACTAACATACCCAGCCATTAGAATCTTCAATAAGCAAGAGACAGGACTTAATTTCAATTTGCATTATTATTTTTAACCTCTCTCAGGTTTATTGCATTCTCAACAAGTGCATTTATATTTTTTCTTTCTAATATTCCCTGCCACAAGTGTCAATATGTATAGGCAAATTTATTCTCTTAATTGTGTCTGGTGTTTCAGACTTCTACATGCTAATGCATGCTGGCCACAAGGACATAATTTTGTCACTCAAAATGCTCACTCTTGGAGCCATTAGGCAAAAGCTTAAATTGGTAGATAAATGTCTGAAGTCTGAGTAACAAACATTGGCCTTCAAAAGTCAAGCGTGCATTACACTTCCAAATGTGACAGATGTCCCCATATATTTTCCCCTTCAGCTCTTCCCTCCTTGGCTTCTAAAGCATAAATCTCAGAACTGAAAATAGCCACAGGCGAAAATTCTGTGCAGCTTCTTTCTCAAGAACAAAAAAAGAGTTTCACTGATCATTATCTCAAAACTACTTGAGCTGCTTCAGGGTTCAAAGCCACCTTCTGGTTTCAGGGCATTCACTCCATCAGTTAATGTGACTTTCAAGCAATGAGTTCAGGTTTTGCCACCTTGAACTTACTGCCCTCATGCTGCTCTCTGGTCAGCAGAGTTTCAGAGAAACCAGGACCTGAATGCATAACCTACCCACAGCCATCCCTGGAATCCTTATCTCTCCTGTGCCACAGCCTGGGCTGGCCTCAACATTTTGACTCCAGTCTTTCCTGTGTCTTCCTACAGTTACATGTTCCTGCCCTGAAATCTGAATTCACTTGAGAAATGTTACAGAAATAGAACCCCTATCAAGTCTGCAATTTGGGCTGCATCTATTTATACAACAGGTAAGCAAGCAAGTTTTTCTGGCAACAGTAACTGGAATTGTATTTGCAAAGATATTTTCTCTGAAGAGGTACAATGTAGCACTGGAGTGAATTCCTCCTGATTTGATAATTCCCAGTTTTTCCAAGGGAAGGCTCAGTATGGATCTCCTTGTACAAAGAGTACAGCAACCTTGCTGTAGTCTTGGAAATAAGGCAATAAAAGACAAACATCATTTGACTATCCTTTCTCTGATCATAAGTTTATCTTTGATTTTAACCTTGACCACAGTGAAAACAAAAGAGGCACAAAAAGTTCAAAAAGACAGTTGTCATTCCAGCTGGGTGGGTTTTTTCAGACAGTATCTCTGCATTCCCCAGCAACTCCCATATGAAGCTTTCAGGCCAAAAAGTTTGCACACCAAAAAAAAAAAAAAAAACCCAACCCAAATGGTAACAATAAGAAGTATTTACTCCCATGATTTCTTTTGAATGTAATGAAGCATAATGACTATAGTCCTCTTTTAGATTGTGAATGAGGAACATGGCTATGGGTACAAAAGAAATCTTTAGACAAATAATACCAGTACTAAGTATTGGTAAGAAACAATCCCAGAGGTCATTATTTGAATTGCATATATACCATTTTACAGCAACAATTTAACTTCCTCTTCAAAAGGGTGTGATGAGCATAAATGAAACTCTGAATGAATAAAAAACTACACTAAGGCCCATTCTTAAATGTGTATCACCAGTGTTGTGTGTTTGTCCTAACAAAATTATTTAGTAGCAACAGATGCTTTGCACTGTTGAATCAAACGTGTGGTGACAGTGTTGTCAATTCGAAAGTACACTGCTATGGCCTTGAATTTACTTCCATCCATCATGTTAGATCACAGTAACTGCACTATGACTTTCAGACAGGCTGAATGTTACTCTCACAGCCTTAAACTTGGAAAATCACTGTGAAACAAAGCCATATATGTTTAGTTACACAGAGCATTCCAACCAGAATAGTTTCTACTGTATATGCCCCTTGATCAATGCATTGTGACATACTATTGACACTTCAACATATTCCCTTCCAAGTATTGTCATCTGAAAGCTAAGGATAAAGGCTTGAGGGATATATTACATATTGTAGCATAATTTTTTTAAGGAAAAATAACAACTTAGAAAATTAAACATTTACTTAAAATATGAGATTCCAAAAGTCCTTTATTTTCTATACCTCACAGTGCAGCATGGCCCTGCTTCAGAAGTGAGGCCATTCTTCCTCTTTAATCTCAAATATGCAATCAAACACTGCAATTTTATTTTCCAGCACTTAGTAAAAAAGGAGATGTAAATTAACTGTTTAATGGAAGAAATTTAAAAGTCAGTGATTAGGTAACTATACAGAAGAGATTTCTCCTCTACTAGATGATAGAGATTTTGTAATATGTTTTTGATGCTTGGTATTTTTTGAGTTTTGCACCACAATAATGTATGAAACTCATTCTACTGAATAAAAGTGTGCTCTTTTGTGTTATCACTCTTGATGTGTTTTCCCTTTATGTTTAGCTGAATTAAGTTCAATCATTAAACAGTATAAAAATTAAAAACATAGATTGCATGCAATTGTAATTGCTTTTATAATTAATTAGATTACTAGCTTCAGGTTGGGACAGCCAAAGGTTCCATGTCAGCAACACATTTACCTGTACTGAATAATAGAAATTGCATCTGGCCAGATAAAGAATTGGCTTTAAATACAAAAATATATCAAGTTCAATGTCTAAGAAGCTAGTGAATTTAATATTATTTTCTTAATAACACCATCAGATAGGAAATAAAAAAGTTAATAAAATTGCATCAAACACAGAGATATAAACTGAGAATTTTACAAAGAAATAACACAGTTATTTGGGATTTACAGCACAGAAAATGAAGTGAGAATACAATTCACCAAATATAACATGCCATGTTTAACCCTGGTGTCAAAACAGTAAATTGTTGGAAGCTAAAGTTCATGGCCATTTCAGACAGAAATCATGTGACTGTATGTCTCATCCCGTGCTCCCTATACTCTTCTTTATTTGCTTACACATCAGTATCAGACTCCTTTCCTATATCTCTCTTAAGAAAGAGATACAGTAAAAATGTGTAAGGTGGGGATTTATACACTGAATTACATCTGCTATTAACATAAAACTTTTATTAAAGCAGAACAACTGTCTCATGCTTACCTTTGATTTCCCTTTACTGTAACAGGCTCTTTTAGTAGCTTCATCACATTGCCACTCCACTGCCTGCAACCAAAAGGAATTTTTTAGAAATGCAAGTAACACAAAAATATAAGCCTCTGAGCTATTCAAGTCCATGTTTATTTTATGTGTCTCAGACATAGTGACAATTAGCCATGAATAATCCTATCCATAAATGCCTTTTAAGAGTTTTCTCCTTAGGAATGTAGTTTTGCTGTTGAAGGTTCTTCATTATTTAAATCCAAAAGGAAGCTGGCCAACATCATGATTCACTGTACCCATCACTACAGCAGAAACAACCACAGTTACATTTGATACTATTTACCCTTTTTTTAAGCAGATGGAGGAACACACAGGAAGGCTGAACCTCTTTCTCCAGCAGAGCTGGGCTGTATCACCACAGCATCTGAGGTCAGCTCTGCTGAGAAACCTTTCATAGTGGGGAAGTGTGCCCTATTGCACTTTTTGAAGTATTTATTTCAAGCATCAAGTAGAGATTTTAGTCTCTAAAGGTATGACTGCAGCACTAATCAGAAGCACTAAAACATCCATTCAGAGAAAGAAGCAACGGGCAGAGATATACAAGACTATAGTGAAACAGTGCACTGCAAAGCAGAAGCAACTTATGCTCATTTTTTGAGGATTTTTCAGTGTCTCACTGCTTCAACAGATTTGTGCCAGGACTACAATGCCTAGTCTGCATTATTACAGTTTCATTGCATGAGTTAATTCCTGTTATTTTCATATTTAACATTCAGCAGCTATGATTTACAAAATTTGCTGATCAGTGGATCAGGCTGCATGTTAATGTGCCAATACATGTACATATGTGAATGCCTATATACATATATATATATATATATGTATGTATGTATGTATGTCAAAGCACATTTTAAATCAGGCTGTATTCTTTCACCTCAACAGTGCACATCCATATGTTCTTAAGATAAACATGCCACAAAATGCTTCACATTTTATCAAGAAGAATTGAGATTTCTGAAGTAACCACTGCTGCCTAATTACTGAAAGCACAGTAATTTCATTTTTTTTTACAAGGAAATAATGAAAGACCATTTATCCAGATTTAATATCGGAAGTATTTTGTACCTGTCTTTTCATAGAGACTGTGTTAACAGCAAGCAGACTATCTAATTAATAATAGAGTGAAAGCCCAGTTAAATTAAGGGGAGAAATGCCTTTCAGAGTACTTGTATTTCAACAAGCCCAAGAATGAACATTTTTCACTTCAAGAAAAATACCCCGACTTATGAAAATTAATGTAATTACTTCTTTTCCTCCATCCTAAACCTTCTTGTTTACAGCATTTGTTTTTGCAATGATAAATGACTATGCTGTATGGGGGAATATATTGAAAACTTCTGTAAGAATCCACTTGTGAATGACCCTAGAATTTATATCTGTATCTAGCAGCATGAAAGAAATCTCATACTGAGTTAGATAAAAAAGCAGCTATGACCTAACTCTTTTGACTTGGTAAGGCAAAAAGCAATTCACATCTGTAACAGATTGTAGGATGACCAACTGAATTCCTAATCAATCCATTAGGACACACTGAATGTCCATGTTATATGGCACTAGATACAAGTGCCAAATATGTTATCTCTGAACAGCACAAAAAATTTCAAACACCTGGAGAAACACAAGAGTTAGTTACTGTGAGGAGGTCAGAGTAGAAAGAGAGTGAAACATGGATACTTAAAAGGAAGGTTTAAAGGAAAGCTCTTGCCAAAACTGAACCAAAAAAAACATGTCAAGCACAAACAAAAGGAAAAAGATTGAATTAAATACAAAATGTTTATCAAGAAATCAATTTTCAGTGACAAAATGCCCAGCTTTCACTTGGCTCTGAGTCCACAGTAAAATTGATTTGAAGAAGAAGGATGTGAAATATTAAAACATTATGTAATATTTCTGGACATCATAGTTAACAGCACATAAAAGAAACCAAGAAACGGCTACAACTAGATATATTTGCTTGCAAGTTAACCAAATGGACAACTCTCTGGGAAAGCCCTATTCATGACATCTGCTAAAAAGGAGCAATACTATGTGAACAAGAAATAAAATGCAGACGCACTGGTAACAAAGCTAAGTCCCATCTTTGAAATCAAGTGTACTTATAGTCCTATAGCCCTTGGTTCCACTGCTAGAGGAGTGTGATAGATTGGCATTTAAGAAAACAAAGAGAAACACCTAAGGAGGTTAAAACTGCTGGCGGCTGATGGGAGTTTGTCTCCTAGCCAACAGCTGGCCATTTCTGAGAATTGACAGCAGTTTTAACCATTGAAAAGTGAGATCAACCTGTGAACACCACCTTAAGACCTAAGCCCGGGAATTTCTTTGTCTCTTTGTTTCCTGGCTGTGAAAGGTAACTGAGCTTTAGCTGGCTCCTGTCCCCTGCCCAGGCCATGCAGCCCGGGCGGGGGCTGGGCCTGCCACGGCTCCCAGCCGGGAGATGGGGCCTGCGGGGCTTGCCCTGGGCTCTGGCCGGGCCAGGCCGGTCCCTGGCTCGGTTGTAGTTTTTGCTGTGACTGAATTCACCAGAGACTGCCGAGTAAAGAAAGAAAAAAGCTCTTGACCTGCGGCGAGCTGAGACAGTGACCACACTCTCCAGAGCAGCCATGAAGAATCTTCCATCGCAGACAACTCCAGCTGCTGCTCCGGCAGAGTTCACAGAACCATCTACAAAACCTGGGCAAGATTTTAACCCTTTCATTACCCAGATGAGACTTGCAGATTAATCCTTTTTTTCCAGAGAAAGAAAAAGAGAGTAATCAACATGTAAAGAGACTTTATAAACTATCAGAGACAGTGAAGAAAAGAATTAAGCTTCAGAAGAGGTAGAGAATAAGGAGATGCTTTATAAGCTGAAATATTTTTCTGTTAAAGCTATGGAGATGGACAATAGTGTCCTGAAAATACTCCTTTAATTCATGACAGAGTATATGGGGAGGAATGGAGTGTTCAAAGTTTGGATTTTGAGCAAAAGGTAGAGTAATTATGATACAGTGAGGTGCTGGAACAGAGGGGGGAGAAGTAATAGTTGAAGATTTGGGGCAACTTGAGGCAAAGAGAAAACTTCTGTTTTCCAGGAAAGCTCACAGAGATAGATGAAGAGAACTTTTGCCTTTGAATAACTCATCCTTAAAATGATATCCCTAGACTCATTGACCCATACACACCTCAGAGTGATGTGAAATGGGAGGAGTAAACTGATGACAGGACTTCCAGGTAGCTGGCATCAGAGGAATAGAAAGCTATAACAGAAATAGTTTTCTTGTGAGAAACTCCATAGATTAGCAGAAGAAAGACTTCTGTTTCTCTACAAAGACTGATGAAAAGACTCTAGCAGGAATTGGGACTGTTTTAAACACCAAAGTTACAAAGTTTTTTGTCTCTATGTTGTCATGTGAATGAGAGAATGGTTAAGTAGTGGGGGATAAAGGTGTTTTCTGGAGGCTTATTCTGGTGTTCTTATTCTTGTAGTTTTGTTAATAAACTTTCTATATTAAGTTTGAAGCCTGTTTTGCTCTTGTTCTAATCCATATCTCACAGCAAGAAATAAGTAAGTTTTCTAGTAATTTTTTACTTACTGCTTTAAAACCATGACAAGGAGATAACAATAGAGGAGGCAGAAAAAAGTATAGTACAAAGGCATCTGAAGAAAGATGAGTAGTTCAGTCTGTTGTACTTTGGTCCCTAAGGCTCCCACATAATTCAGTAATATAGGCAAACATTTCTATACAGAGCTTTCTTTCTTTTTACCTTCTAATCTCCAAAAAATTCAGAGGAGTTTCCCACAAAGTGGAAATTTAGATATTTAACACAGTCTACTGCTTCTACACAGGAGGAAAACAGGCGGGAAACTCTTCAAGATAAACATCATTTCAATGTGGGAAAAAACATGAGAAAAATGTGTCCTAAATCTTCAGCACACAAAGACAAAACAAAATGTCCCAATAGAATAATGACAATGTGGGTTTTGCCATTAGAAGATTACGACTTGAAAATTGTCGTTCTGAAAGACCAGATGGACACATATGGATTGCATTATTCTAGAAAGCAAGTGCAAAACCATGTTTACAGATATGACTTATCCACTGCTTCTCTTAAACTGACATATTCTCCTGCTTAATACAGATTGATGACATTTCCACCAAGTCCAGAGGAGTGCATATACGACATGCAAACCATGTTAAATACTTATGAAGATCTATACAGCTAAGCTTTACCCTATTAGGATTTTTTTCCAATTTTTCTTAAGAACCTTCAATTTTCACATTCAAAATACAACCTGCAGCATTCAGTGTACTGGTTTTAATTAATATTATAATCCTAATTAAGCTGGCAACAAAGTTCATTGAACCAAATTATAGACACTCAGGTTTGTTCACTCTGGGGAAAGAGTGAACAGGGATTTGAAAGTCAGTGTCAGAGAAAATAAAGACAGGTCATACACAGCTACTACTACACATCTCTACAAAGAAGACAGCTGCATAGGTTAAGGAGAAGGGTTTAAGGTGGCACACCAGTCTGTTTTTATAGCAAGCTGAAAATATTTACAATTACATGGCTTTTATAAATCCTATGATTGATATGATCTTTCAAGCATCTCCATAAATTTAATGCCATAATTATACTTAAGTCTAACCTTGAACTCAAGTTTCAAACTGATAGCAGGCAGCTTTTTGAAAAATTGTAAATAACTGTATAAGTGTTTTAAATATTGATGTTTGTAAAGAACTTCAAAAATTCAGAAGAAATCTTTCCTGGCATTTTCAAGGGGTAGTAGGAGGAGATGGTAGGAGGAGAGAAATTCCAGCCAGCGAAGAAAAAAACATTCCAACTCAAGAATTTGTAATGAAACTATTATCTTAAAAATGAAGAAAAATGTGCATTCAACACCCATATATGTTAAATTAAAAATTACATTTTTAAAATTAATATATTAATAATTATTAATAAATTAATATTCTTTGGAATCAACAGATATATTTTAGTAACTTCTCTGGATGAATAGTAGG